AGAGCAAACAATTCTCTATAAAATGAAATGTACTCGAGCTCTCTACGATGTTTTTTGGTCGAACTATATCAAATTTACGAAAAGCCCAAAACAGGACTTTTTCAAGTCATTCCCCCCCCCAATGGTCACTGGAGTGACCAAACTACTCTGCACAAACGAGCGTGCGCCTGATCGATCTGCCCACACTATTGCCATATTGGAGTCACCAATACTCTATTCCAGTAGTTATTTGATCAGCGGATCCTCTGGAACTGTTGTGGGGGGTAAAGGGTTAAGATAGTTGTTCGTAACTGTTGCTCAATTCTTCTTTTCTTGGATAAAAAGACTTTTTGACCGTATGTATAGGTATATAGCACTATGTGTACACGTTCTAAACTGATTTTAGCTTATCAAAAACATTTTTCAAAAAACGTTTTCCATGAAAAAGCTATTTAAAGATTTGTCGTATAAAACACGATTTCAACTTGTTTAAAATGAAAAATAAGCGTGAAGCAGACAAGGAAGAAATAATAGGAGAGTAACGAAAAGATCGTACATGCTCATTTAGCTTATAATGTAAGTTATAGTGAACTAGTTATTCAATAGAAAGAATTTAAGAGGATAGTGAAATTATTCTTGAAGATCATTTGGTTTATAAGTAATTAATAACTGGAACAATTATTTTTCAATCACTACAAAAACATTAACTGACTAGCTACTATTATGGCATTTATTAATATTTTAATATTTTACGCCGAATAATATTCAAATTTTTCTCAACATTTACGAAACTCGAGATACTGTTCTAATACTTTAAAGATTTTTGATTTAGATTACGATATAATGATCTGTACTTAAGCCAATAAACGACCGGATTATTTATGCCGTTTTATTTAATTTCTATAATGCACAAGCATTTACACGCTGATTATGATATCGAGAATTTAACAAAGAGATTATGGAAAATTCGCATTCGCGCCGAACTGAATTATTTTTTACTTTTTCGTTATGCAACATGTCTTCATACTGGCTATAGACTTGCAATGTTTATCTTTTCTCTCACTACCACGTGAGTCAAAATGACTGCATCATCGCGTATTTCGCACATATCCCAGCACTAGACATGTGTAGTAACGGTAAAAACGTGTTACCGTTACCGTCGCTTCCGTAAAAACTTCAAAATTTTACCGTGGTAAACTTCGGTAAAAAATCTTTTATTGTTACCGCTCATGCCTACTCAGCACAGATAAATCATAAAATCTTGAATTTCTTTTTAAAATATGCGCCGTCAAATTCTCTACAAGAATGACGATGAAAAATTTCATTGAGTTGTTTTAATGGTCTTTTATAGAGCTAAAAGTGAACCACTGCACGATGCTGTAATGTCCCATCATTCTGAAAGAAACAAAAATGAAAATAGCATAAAAAAGGTTTTCATTTCAATAAAAATGACATACTTAGAATCAGCAAAAGAACCTGCATCTAATGATGTACGATTAGTGGGTTTTCTGAGCAAAAACTTGATAGATCTAACGAAACGCTAACGTCAAAGCATAGCGTAACAATTTTGGCTAAAGATTTTGATATTTACCATAGAAGCAGTTCGAAAGTCTATAAACACTTGTTTTATAGGTTTTCAGATATACTCTTTTCAGTGGTGGGCTTTACAAAGTTCCAGAATACTTATGTACGGGTTTTCTAGAGACGCGGCCTCTGGAGAACCCAGATGAAAGTCTCTCTGAACTTCGTAAAGCCTACCCCTGGAAAGTGGTGACTGAACTTTAGCGTTTCGTAAGATCTATCAAGTTTTTGCTCAGAAAACCTACTAATCGTACATCATTAGATACAGATTCTTTTGCTGATTCTAAGTATGTCATTTTTATTGAAATGAAAACCTTTTTTATGCTATTTTCATTTTTGTTTCTTTCAGAATGATGGGACATTACAGCATCGTGCAGTGGTTCACTTTTAGCTTTATAAAAGACCATTAAAACAACTCAATGAAATTTTTCATCGTCATTCTTGTAGAGAATTTGACGGCGCATATTTTAAAAAGAAATTCAAGATTTTATGATTTATCTATGCTGAGATATGTGCGAAATACGCGATGTTGCAATCATTTTGACTCACCCGTTAGTTCAGGTCACAATATAGGTCATGTTGCCTCGCGACTCACTCTCATACCATCCGTTTCCTCTTCCCACATCCGTACAAGCTGTCTATCTGGTAAAATTTCACAGTGTCAAGCAGTCATAAGTATTAAAGACAGTACATATAGAGAATTCGCAAACACATCATATACATCAATGCGTATTATTATCATCCATTACATATCGAAATGAATTCGTAGTGAATATGAATTCATTTGTCGAAGATCAAATTGTCCGCGAACGTGTATTTTTCAAGCTATGTTAAAAACTTTAAACAACTAAATAATTCAAAATGGACCCTTGTTAAATTGTGATTTTGATGAGACTTTAGCTCGAAACCGATCTGATCTCATATTCAATTCTATTATTTAAAACATTGAGCAGAAAATGTAACTGGATAGTCTAACATCTAAAATACTCTTGGGCATCTCAGCAAACTGTAGGTCACGAAGAAAAACTAGGTTGTGTGTAAACATTTTCGAATAGGATTTGATTGATTTTTTTTCATGGGTTGGCAGTTCGGGATCTCTTCAAAACGGGAGTGAAGCGAGACCATGATTTTTCGTGACATGGGCTTTGTTTCTGAGCGAGTTTTAGGAAAATTTGGGTTTTCAGGCTGTTTTCACCTAATATTAAAAAGCTCATTATTCACTAAATAAAAACATCAGAACGAGTTCAAAACTTCAGAATGTAGAGTACTGAGGCTCTTCTATATCTATTCAACAAGTACATATAACTCTCACAAAGTAAAACATCAACATTCATTCATCTCAGACATGGGCATGCATTCATCTCAGTCCAAGTCCGTGATAAGCTTTTCACACAGACTGAGACTGAAGGCATAAGAGACTTGGACTGGTCTTTCTGATGAAAAAATAGAAGAAAAAGAATAGACATGGAAAGCAAAGTATGCTGGGACTGACATCGGACTTAAAGCTCAGTGAACTGGAGGTGGGGTGGGACTAAATAAATTTTAGCTGAAGAGCAGACTGGAACTGATTCGAACTTAGTCTCTATCCGACTTGCCTATCTCTAATTCATCCTGGGTTAATGACGCTGCGCATCATCTTGGACGTTTCTCACCCAAATTGAATGCGTTTGTTTCTTTTTCTTTTGACTTCGCGTGAAACTACGTTGTCAAAGTTTAAAATAAATATGTAGATCGAGCTCTATTCAAACTAATCAGTAAAGATGAATTGTAATCCCACGCAATAGCAGAGGCGCTGTAGATAATACATCGGAAGTGAGTTTCTCGATTTATATTTTAATCACCGATAAATAGTCCTACATAATAAGTATTTATTTTGCAGTACTCTGTTTTCTCTACGAGATAATTAATCGTCACGTGATACTTAACAGTGAATATGTAGCCATAGGCTACAGGAAATATTTTCCTTAGTACAGCACTACCTGCTGTCTTACAAATGTATTGCAGAACGTATGATGAGATAATGATTCAGCTGACGCATGATTCTACGTGCGCAACAGTTTCGAGTACTAAATCTATGAATGTCGGTTGTAGGAATGTATCAATAGACTAAATGAGTCTGGCACAATTAACGCATACGCAGAAACGGCAAATCTACACTGCATACCCAACATAAGTTGCAAAGAAACCACATTAATCGGATAGAGAGGTGCGTGTTACAGAGTGTAAGTATTGTGCGTTTTTCCAGGATTGTTTTACTAAAAGCTTAACCTGACTCGAACTATAGCAGAGAGACTGGGTAATCTATGTCGATAATTAATCTGCATGGTGTATATGTGTAGTATGTATATAACAACAAGTACAGGCTGTATGTGAAGGAGTTATATTAATATGCAGAATTAGAAGGCGAAAAATCAAGCAATGACCACGTTTAACGCACACCAGCCACGACAAATGCCACAATTCAAATCAACACCCAAATCAGCACCACTCATTGTACAACGTATCAAATTTACAAGATTTCAACTAAGCAAATTCATCAAATTAGGAATGCCAGACATCAGACTATCCGATATACATTTGAATAGAAACGTTGCATTCACAATTTTTGCTAGTGATGCTAAAAGTTATAATAGAATACTGTTAGATTTAGGCTAAAGAAAAATTTGATGATACAAGTAATACAAAATGATGTAAAAGTATCTACTCCACGTGCGATTCAGAAAGTGATTGATACAGACAAACAAGCATTTTTGAAGCACATCGGTGTAGTTGTTTAAAATAACAACTGCAGAGATAGAAACAGCCTTTCAAACAGTCGGCTTAGTCAAGTCGACCAAGTGGAAAGAATGAAAAATCAAACTGAAGAACAAGAAGGTGCGATGATTAAAATGACATTTAGCGATGCCTATAATCACAATAGTATTGTGCATACTGAGTCACATTAATATTACACAGCATACCTGCACAACTAGTCTCGTTTGTTCGAAGCAAAGCTTAAATAGATGTTTACTGAAAAAATTTGTGTAATATATACATCTGATTATTATTTTGAAATATATAAGTACATTTAAATCATTTATTTTCTACTGCTGTAGTACATGTGAAACGGTATTGTTTTAATCAAGTTACACGACGATATCTTTTTTCTTCGTTTAACAACGGTATTTATATATTCTCGTTGTCAATAGGAAAGCATATGTCTGCACAGCACACGTCTATTCACATAAAATCGACAATATTCAGATAAGAACAAGAAAAAAAAATCACTTTTTAAAAATGCCATAAAATTACTCATATCTTCTTCAATTCATACATTTTGTACAGTCAACAAACCTTAACAATGAAATTTATATATCCGCAACGAATTCTATTGAAATTTCAAGTATACCGACAAATTGCGTATTCGTACAGCACGCTAACGTCACAATCAGAACAGAAAAACACAGCAGATATCGGGATAGGTGAGTATCAATTAAACAACAAAAGAATCAAACATAAAATGATCGTACTCCGTTTTTCTAGAAACCAATCATGTATCAAACAACCTAGCATATTCTCATGGCCCGAGTCTTATTCCATTGTTAGGTGAAACAATTGGTGAAAATCTTCGTAAAACCGTTGAAAAGTATTCTAGTAATGATGCATTGATCGCTTTTTCTTCTAACTATAAATTAACGTATCAGCAATTATGGGATCAAATCACAAGGCTATCAAAAGGTCTAATACACATGGGTATTCGGAAAGGTGATCGTGTAGGCATGTGGTCACCAAATCGATTTGAATGGATTATTGTTCAGTTTGCCACGGCTCGTATTGGTGCAATACTTGTTAATATTAATCCATCATATCGAATTCATGAATTGGAATATGTGTTAAATCATGCACAAGTAAAATTGATTATAGCAGCAAAACATTTCAAAACAAGTGATTACGAACAATTATTGTATACAGTACATCCAAATTGTTTGAGTTTAGAAAAAATAATTATTATTGAAAATGATTGGCATCATTTGATGACATGTGGAATAACGACGATTTCTGATCGAGAGCTTGATGAAATAGAAGCAAAACTTCAATTTGATGATCCTATTAATATTCAATATACTTCTGGAACTACTGGAAAGCCAAAAGGTGTTACATTATCACATCATAACTTGTTAAATAATGCTTATTTTGGAGCAAAAAGATTGAGATATACCGCAAATGATCGTATTTGTGTTCCCGTCCCATTTTACCGTGAGTAATGATTTCTCATGGTATCTCTACAAATTAGTATCCTAGACAAAATCCTGCATACTTCCTAAATTTCTGGCTAGGATCTTAAAGTATCCTAATATCTAAGATTCTATTACGATCATTGTTTAGGATCATCATATTTTTTCAATAACCTCATTTTCTTGTTAAGCTTCTATTCCAATTCTAACAGAATCCTAAGATTTTTCGGTATCTCTAATTCAATTAGAATTTGATGAGATTTTGCTAGAATCCTAGACAACCCAAGCGAAAGTAGGGTAGCAGATTCTTGTAGAATATGTCTAGGATCCTGTCAGGAAATTCAGGTATCTTACTAGGATATTGTCTAGCAGCTCTTATGCTCAAACGAGTCCATTTATAGTTTATGTGATTATTGTGTGTTTTAGATTGCTTTGGAATGATTATCGGAAATCTAGCTTCGGCAACATGTGGTGCATGTATCGTGATACCATCAGAAGCATTCGATCCTGAACAAGTAATGAAATGTGTTAGTCAAGAAAAGTGTACATCGCTTTATGGCGTACCAACAATGTTTATTGCACAATTAGATCATCCTAATTTCAAAAAATATGATTTTAATTCGTTGAGAACAGGTGTTATGGCTGGTACTATTTGTCCAGTGGAAACAATGAAACAGGTACAACAACAAATGAATATGAAAGAAGTTGGTATTTGTTATGGAATGACAGAGACATCACCCGTCTCAGTACAAACATTTCACGACGATTCACTTGAAAAACGGGTAACAACAGTTGGAAAAGCATTCGATCATGTTGAAATAAAAATTGTAAATCCTAACACAAACGAAACTGTTCGACGAAATGAAACAGGCGAACTGTTGACAAGAGGTATGTAACGGGTGGACCACATTAAACGGTGTACCTTTGTTTTGTGCTTTTGAGGCACTTAAAAATCGTTTTAAAAAACGATGTTGAGCTTATTCGATCGAGAACTTATTGTTCTACAAAACTGTCGAAATTGTTTTTCAAATAGATTTTCTTGTCAGCGCAAAATTTAAAAGATGAACACCTATTCAATCGTTCAGTTGCGAGCTCCTATTGTCTAAAGACATCTGTCGATTATTGTAAGCCTACGCTCATCAAGTCCGATGCTAAAAGTAAAGTATTTAACATCGATAGATAGAGAATTTTGTGCTCTATGCTTCCACGATCTTTTCAAAATTCCTGATGCTATAGTCACGAGAAATAGGCCTGAAACTAACACATGGTAATATTTTCGGATGCATTTTGGAAAATCATGTTTTCCGAAGCCATGAAACGTCGAATTATCATTTTTTCGTTTTGTAACCGTCACAGTTGGACGATTTAACAGGTGTTAATCTTTTAAATTTTGCGCCAATAAGAGAATTTTATTTGAAAAAGAAGGTCGACAGGATTATAGAACAAATGAATTTTCGATCGAATGAGCTTAAAATCGTTTTTTAAAACGATTCTTAAATGCCTCAAAAGTAGAAAACAACAGTAGACCGTGTAATGTGGCCCACTCGTTACTCTTTTGCAGTGAGTAATGACAGAATAATAACTACATCAGACATATTGATAGATATATATATTTACTTTTCTTTTCACAGGTTATCATGTAATGCTTGGTTATTGGAATGACAGATCAGCTACAGAAAAAACAATCGATCAAGCACGATGGTTAAAAACTGGTGATTCAGCGATTATGGATGATGAAGGTTATATTCGTATAGTTGGACGAATTAAAGATTTAATTATACGTGGCGGTGAAAATATTTATCCAATAGAAATTGAAAACTTTTTATATAGACATCCGGCAGTGAGTGATGTACAAATAATTGGTATACCAAGTAGAAAATATGGTGAAGAAGTTATGGCTTGGGTACGATTAAAATCAGAAGTAGGAGAAATTAGTGATAAGGATCTAATTGAATTTTGTTCAAATCAAATTTCACATTATAAAATACCAAAATATTGGAAATTTGTTCAAGATTTTCCTCAAACAATTTCGGGAAAAATACGAAAAGTAGAAATGAGAGAAATATCTATTCAAGAATTAAATTTGAAAAATGAGAAGAATTAAAATTGGTTCTACATTTTAGATAATACAGTGAATATGTTGTTTTGATAGACCAGTTTGTCGGTCCATTTTCTAACGTTTATAGTTAAGAATTTATTAATTATTCTAATTTTTTTTTCAAAATATGTTTAACTTAAGATCTTATTAGAAAAAAAATGTATTCAGTTTTGTATAATTTTGCTTCGGAAAATAAAAATGGGCATGACAACACTATGGTCAATTATTTTAACATAAATTTAAAAAAACCTTTTATTATCAACGGGTTTTCAAAACTATATTTTTGTACTGTATGAAGACATGACTACAGAAAAAGGATTATGTACATAACTACAGAAATATTTCGAGGGAAGAGGGGTGATTATAAGATAATGCATAAAAACCAATTACTACATATAAAGTAGACAAAAATAACTTCGAAAAATTCAGGAAAAAAATTTGCAAATAATGAATTTCCGTTATAATTAAATAAACAACATGGAATAGGAAAGAGGAAAATGTTGTGAAAAAGTATGATCAATTTTATTCATATACTACTAGACACTTATATTACTCGGAAGTTATTAATGACACTTTCTCTTCTGCATTTTTCCTTTGTATTTTCTTAACCAAGTTCTATTTAGAAGACATTTTTTTTTTGTCTATAACTATGTTATTTTCACCTTCTTTTCCTTCTTTTTGTCGTTAAACTTTTTTTTTACTAACAAATCTTATCAATTTGAGAAGAAGAAGAAAAATGAAAAGTAGCTTTTAAGAAAAAATTCACGCATACATAAAGCGAAAAAAAAGAAAACAGAAGAAGGTAATGATGTTCATCTAAGAAAATAAAAAAAAAAAAAAAAAAAAACATTTCACACTGTATACTTGATCTATATCAAATAGAGAGTTATATTATGCATAGAACAAAGGTAAGCTTTATGTGAAAAATATTCACATTTAGCACATTAAGTTCAAAAAAACTCACACAATATTAATCAGTACTATAATGGTGAGCTCGTGTTTGTTAAATGCTGAATATAAGGTAAGATTGGAGAAAACGTTTGGTTGCATTCACAATAGCCAAAGAAAACAAAACTTATTCCCAGATCGTGTTGTTGCGAATCAATAAAATCAGACTTAATAAATGTAATGTTTTGTTTCACGTTTGCCGATCACACCTATTTACCAGGTAGGGCATTTATCGATTATAATCGATAAATTTCATCTTTTTTCGGAAACCAATTGTATGAAAAGTACATATATTAAACTTTTTCGAATAACTGGATTTTGTAGAACAAACATTTTTCTATAAGATGAGCTATGGCAGAAGTCTTCATGTTTTCTATTTCTATCGCAATCGCTTTTCGACGAAGAGCCCTAAATCGGTCATAATAATCTTTTTTTTTATAAGTACTGAATCAGGACGAAGAATATGGCCATAGTTCATCTTGTAGGAAAATGTTTGCTCTACAAAACTCAATTGTTAGAAAAATTTTAGAAAATCGATTTTTGTTGAGAAAATATTTTTTGCAAAAAAAGTGCACAATTTTAATCGATTATAATCGGTGCATACCTATTCCTAGGTGAACAACTGCAATTTGATTGACACATAGGTTTTTGTGATTATTTTTGACGTTGATCACGAAGTTGATGTCCTAGTACTAATAATATCCTGCAGAGACTCATTTCCCGAACTTTCAGATAAAGAGATTCTACTATGATCAATTTGAAGAGCAGATTGATTTTTTTCATAGAAAGGTAGACACTTTCTTCGCGAGGTCATACTAAACTAAAAAATATATATATTATTTAAAAAACAAAGTAGAATTATTAACTAAAAGTCTTCATTTAGTGTTATTGGAGTTTCAAATCGACTTTTCCTCAAATCTATATGATGAGACATAGTCTCAAAACGAATTGTTGACTCGACAGAGAGAAATATAGAGAAGAGGGAAGAAGAATGTTCTTTGATGAAAAACAACAAAAAAAAAAAGGCTTTGTGTTGAAGATTAAGACTATATAAAAAAGTTATAGTTATTTTTTTCTTCTCTTTATTAAGTGAAGCATATTTTTTAACTCAGTAATTGTTCGAAAGAATGTGTACAAGGAATGTTTAACTGTTACTAATTAATAAGACTTTTTTGAAATCTTTCCTATAGTCTCGTTATAAAAGAATTATGTGAAAATTACTATTTGACAGACTAAGAAACGTTTGAGGCATGTATCTGTGTCAAAATTCAACACACTTGATTTTATATATGCCATACACTTCAACGTTCTTTTCAATTAAACTAATAAATTGTGTGATTCGATAATTATTGACTTATTCAATCTTAGACAGCATTTTTTCAAATATGACACGATTTTATATAAAATAATTTTATGGATACTTTAGTCCAAAAATATTGAGATTAAAAATATGACTATTCAAGAGATAATAGACAAACTACTACACTATTGAAGAGTAACAAATTTTAGAATTGTAAATTTCATTGATTGTTAACTTTTTCAGCTTATTTCTCAAGCCTGCATTTTTCCATACTGCTAATGGGACAAAGAAAAAACCAACATAAAATGTATTCAGTTCATCATTTTCTACTTGCATCTTTAAGAAAGAAAAATTCTTTTTTTTAAATACAGTTCAACCTTACACAGTAATTTCTGATATCAAAATCTTCTTTATAACAAAAATAACTAACACAAATAATCGTCTTCAATAAAGTAAGTAGTTGCAATAACAGATTAACGATCCCAGCACACTAGTAAACCCACGATTGTTATGAACTATCTCTGATACATGCATGACATACAAAGAAAAATAGGAGATAGTAAGTATCATTTTTAGTTCGTGTCGAGTGATGCTTTCATGCCATAATTGCAGCAGATTTTCAATGATTAGTACGATATACGTTTGATTTACGACTCAAAAAACTCAAATACATTTTCCAACTGTACTATATATATATTATTTTTTTTTTCTCCTTTATAAATTAAAACAGCCTAGTATGTGCTCAAATTTTGTTTTTTGTGCAGTAAACGTGTTCTGTCAGTGTTCTATTGGCGTAAAGAACAACTACGTGCTGTTTTTGGAATAAAAATGTTAATCAGGAAGAAAAATAACAGAAACTTGTTGCCGATAATTGCATAATACGCATATTAGAACTATTTTATAGGGTAAAAAATGCATGCAAACTTTGATGGTGTTAAAATAGATAGTGACAACTATGTGTTAGGTTAGATGTATTAGTTTGCAAAATCCTTTAAGTAGCAATGTGCACCACTTTGATAAAAATATTCTTTCTCGATAAAAAGGATAGTTTCTAACTGTGAAAGAGACGACGAAGACTTTTTGTCTACCAGTGGTCGTCTTAGTAAAATGCCATGTAGAAAATCTCTAGATTAATCTAGATATTAAAGAAAATGCCTTGGCAGCTTCTAATCCTGTCCTAAAAAAAGACGATGACACTACGATTGTGGAAATAAGAATAGATATTCGAACGGTATTAGCGACATAAATTCAGTAGCAAACTTTTAACTGTTCAAGTTCTGAATGTTGTTGAATAGAGAACTTTGATACGTCTTAACATTTGGAATGTAAAAAAAATTCAACTCTATCTTCTATCTCTTTGATCGTCAAATAGCAACTTATATCTCCGTAAGAAGTCAATTTTTATTCCTGAAGTTGTTAAAAGAGATTGGTCTTTGCCTTTTTGATTGTTGAACATCTCTCATTAAAAAAAAATAGAAGAAATTCAATTCATTTGTAGAAAACTTTGATACTGTTTTTTTAAAGGAAACACGATCTTAACTCGGTGTTTATATTTTCATCTCGTTTTCCAGGGCAATCAAAAAAAAAACCAAATTTGACTTTCTCCCTTCTCTTTTTTTTTTTTTTTTTTTTTTTTGTTAAAAATTAAATACAAAAGAACTATTTCCTCCTTTCTTCTTTCCCAGGACGAATAATAAAGGAAAGAAGAGAAAAGAAAGACGAGTTCGTTACACATTATGAATTAAAGAAACGAGAGTATCTTCTATTTGCCTGTTTTGTCATATAATAACGAGTTCTCTTTCTTATTTTATATAAAATCACGAAGCGGAAATAGTTTTATATATCATCAGACTTCTTTTTTTCTTGTTTTTAACTTTCTCATCTAGATATAACACTAAGAAAAAGAATGTTTTCAATTTTATTTTTTTATGAACATATATCATTAAATTCTCTTGTTATATATGAATACTATTCTTATTATATAGAAAAGTCTTTTGGTTGGTAATCATTTGCTCTTCTGAACACATCTGCTTTTTCTTCTCTTATCATTTATTTTTTGTTCTTAGACTTTCTTCCCTTCTTTTAAAGGTAAAGAAATAAATATTTTAAAAAGCAGATTTCCTAATCATTATCATGAATGATGGCAAAAAAAAAAAAAAAACCTAGCAGAAGAAGAAAAAAATCACACACACACTATGTAATGAAAAGAAAGTGACACCTATGAGAAAAGTCAACCGAATAAAAAATAATGAGGTTATAGTGTTATTGCAAAATATATTTTATACCTCGAATATAGATTACATTTTCAATTAAAATATTCTCTTCGTATGTGTGTGATGTGATTATAGAGTCATTCACAGTTATCAAATCATTATCTATTCTCGTAAAAATGTATATCACAATTAGAGAGAAAGAGAGAAAGAGAGAGAGAGAAAAGATGACATCCTATGATAGTTAGATTATATTTTTCAAAGTATTTGAGACTATTGTCATGGAGATCAACTTTTTTACTTATATTTCATCTTATTATTTAAGTTGCTATGAAAAAAAAATACTAATCCCAGTAAGAGAATAAGTGACAAGATTTTTTTTTTTTTTTGAAGAATTCATCTGAACTTGTATTTATGGAAGTTTTTATCAAAAAAAATAAACGTAAATAATTTCAATTTTTATACACTATATTACTTTATGTTTTTTTATTGAAAAATAGGCCATATAATCTTCAATAACGGATATTTCTCTACTTAATGTCCTTATCATGTATAACTGCTGCTATAGTTAGTTCTTTTGCGCTTTTAACTGACCAAAAAAGCTGTGCACGTGTGCGTGTGTGTGTGTGTTGAATAAGACGAGTAAGTAAGATATAATAAATTTTTCTGTTCACTCTGGTTTTTTTTGGTTTTTTCATCACTACTTTATTTATCAATGGGACGATTTGCAGTTTCATTGTACCGTTTACAGAAAAAATAAGAAGTTAGGTATAAATGAAGTCAAACTCTTGCGATTTATTTAAGATCTGTCTGCGAGAATCACCGAAAAAAAATGTCTCGACTTCTACTACTAAGATGGTCAGGATATTCGAGCTTTTGTTTTTAAACCAGTATAATCTCCGAGATTGTTGAGCTAAAAAAATGTTTATTATTGTTAGGAATTTATACGTGTGCATTATCGTTTGATAGATCTTCATGAAAGGAATCACTTTAATGCACACATGTGCCAGAAACCCGGTTTTTTTTCAGCACAATCAAGACGACAAGATCCTATTGGACGATCAAAATATGTAGTTGAGAAGAAAAAAGACATTGTTTTTATTCAACAGTTAATATTCAAAACGGGAATTGCGTAATCCATATCTCGGATTCCTGTTTGATAAAAAACATCAATTTACTCTGGGATCGTGAACATATGTCAGAGAAGTAAACAAAAAAGAAAAATTATTGAGATTTGATCTACTGAAATCAGAGATATTGTTGTTATTTCCGTATTCCATACAATGAGACTACAAATTATCCACTCTCTATTTCCACGTCTTTTTTTTTCTTTTTATTTTAAATGTGTTTTTCAGATATTCCTTATTTTATCTATAGATATGTTTTGGTAAAAATCTCATTGTTTTGTCTTAATTATCAAATCAAGCAAATGTATTTATATGAAATCATCAGAAAATCCATTGCATTTAATTCAATCGAGTTATAATACAAATGTAATAACAAAACAACCACAATCACAACAACGACAAAATATACAACAGGATATTGTTGAAAATTTTAGTCAAGGTGATAACCACAGTAATACTGGGGGAAGTAAAGCAAAACGAAAATCATCTGTACATGACGTTAGTGAAGTATCAAAAGAAGAATTTAGTAAAGTAATTAAATTAAAATGTTTATATATTTTAATAATATAAATAAGAATTCATTTTTTTCTTATATTCAGATTCTAATTGATTTACATGAAGGTTTTGCTCGTTTAAGAGAACATTTAGAAAATCTTAATTATTCAACTATTCAAGATTCACAATATTTAGAAGAATTAAGAAAATCCAAAAGACAATTAATTATGAATATTAAAAATGTTATTGATAAAAAAATTATTCAAGAAACAACATTAGCATCAAGAAGGTTTGCATCTCTATTGTTCTTTATTATTATTATTATTATTATTTTTTGTTTTTTCTTTTTCTTCTTCATATTATTTATAATTATCTATCAATAACATTTTATTTAGATCATCGTTTGTTCAAAAACAAGTATTAAATAATTTATATGCACATCATGTCATCTATCTTATCGAATACTTTCGTACTGAGTTATTTAAAACACACTATTTATTCAATACATTTACGTTATGTTAGTAGAGAAAAAAAAAAAAAATCAAAACAAAATTATTCTAGATTATATTTTAAATGAAAATTTTTATTCTTATTTTAGCTTCATCATTAAATTCATCGAATCTTCTTGTTGATAGACAAAAGAGTGTGGCATTGACAGAAGATATGGTAGAATTCAAAAAGTAATTACTTATTTATATATATATATATTCTTTTTTTTTTTTGTTGCTATTTTCCATGATAGAAGAAGAAGAAGAAGAAAAAAAAACTTAGAGAAAAAGAAAATGTTAAAATAATTGCATTAAATTGAGTATAATTATTCAAATTGAAAACTTGCACTCTATGAGTCTGTTTAGAGGTAGCATTAAGTTTAAAAGTATCTAGAGTAATCACTCATTCATTTATTCATTTTCATGTTATTGAGTAAAAAAATGGGCTCTTTGATAAATGTAATTATACATGCATTCTTCTCTTCTTCTTGTTTTTTTTCCAGAGATATGGGCGATTTAGAAGATTATGCCTATATACTTGGACAAAAATTTTATTATCAAATACCGGATATAAATCATGGAAATGGTGGTAAGTAATGCAAAAAAATAAAAAATAAATAAATAAATAAATAAATAATAGATTAATTATATTAAATGTTTTACTTTTTCTAACAAAAAAAGAAAAAAAATTTTTTTGTTTTTTGTCTTTTTGTTAAAGATGAAATTACTACCATACAATTAAAACCAACAAAACTAAAAGTTCAAAAAAACATACAATCACAATTTTGTGCAAGATTATATGCTAAATGTCATTTTGTTTGTTGTATATGCTCACCAAAATATATTTAAAACACAAATAATAGACAAAAAAACAACAACAAAAAATACTTCTATTTATTTTATTATCCGTCTTTTACAGCTATGCATTAATTGATTATTTTGCATCTGTTTTATTCTATTTCATCTAACTAACTGATGTAAAATGTATAGAGAATGATTGAACGCAGGCGTTCGTTCATACAAAAAATATTTATTAATGTTTGAAACAATTTTTTTTTTTTTAATTTTATGTAAAACTAAATTATTTTTGCCTAATCCTTCTTTTCATTCGATGTTTTTACTCAATTAAAATGATGAAATTGTTTGTTTTTTTTTTTGTTTTTTTTTAATCAGTATTTTTCCTTCTTATTTTTGTTTTCAAAAATTTTTATGTACGCTTGTTTCCCTGTGTAATATTTAAAAATTTCTCATAATCAAGATATTTTTAATTTAATTTTCATTGTATTGCTGGCACTTTTTTTCTTTACACTTCCTTTTTTTTTCTTGTTCTTTTTGTTCCATTGGCATAATTATCTAACATATTTATATATCTATTCGTATATTTTTTTATTCTATCTATTTTATCATAAATAGAAAACTGTCTACCTTATGCAAGAGTTAAACAAATTGAATAATAGAGGATGTACACTATAAATGATGTCAAATTAAATCGTTAGTACCGATGAAAAAGAGTAAACGATTTTTCTACTGTGGAAAAATAATGAAATTTTTACTAATTGTCCTATTGGTTGCTGTTAGCATTTAAAATATGTATTTAAACAGTTTATTACTGGTTTTCTAAATTCAAATGTAGATCACTAATACATAGACGGTGTATCATACAATATATTCATCCACATTATAGATGGGTATAGATGGGGATTTGTCGACTATATTTTACGAAATAATACATTTGTGACAAGAGACTACTATATACTAGAAGAAAAACCAGGGAAAAAAAAACGAACGGCATTAGTAAAAACCTAACAGAAAACTACAGTTTTTGTTCGCACATTATAGATAAGATTAACATCAATTTTGTGAAAGAATAATGTCATTTTACTACTCTACCAGTAAAATCTTACAAAAACAAAAAATATGCATCAGAAAAAATGAAGAACAACGAGGCACCAAAATTGAGCGCTTGCACAAAGAGGAAAAAAAACAAAGCTACAAAATAGGATTTAGATCACATCTAGTTATCTGAGAAGACAAATTATTTGCGAAACAATACGTTCGGTATCTGACAATAAGTGATTTGAAAGGTTACAGATTATCAAATTGAAAAATGAAAGAGAACTTCATACAAAAAAAAAAAGAAAAACTCTATTTTAATAGGAGAATATTTGACATGACTAAGAATTATACGTTAGAAGACAGAAACTATTTACAAAAAAATTTTCTTCAAAAACAAAAAGAAATTGAAATTTGAGATTAATTAAATTCTGTATATTTTAAGTGACGATGGTTTTTCGGATCGTATAACAAAATAGTTCAAATCATTTGATAAACATATATTTTTTATATTTTTATACGTTGTATTCAATTGTTTTACTTGTCCAAATTCATCTAATAACCATATTTTATTTGTATGCCAATTAATAAATAGCCAACGATTATCAAATAAAGGTGTTAACATTGAAAAAAACCGATGTTGATTTTCACTTTGATCCATAATAAAACCTTTTCGTAAACGTACCATATTATAATCCATAATATCTACTCTCCAATGAAGATCTTGTTGCATTACCGATAAACCAATATAAAATGAATCACATCGTATATCACGTACACCATTATCTGTTGGTTCACATACTTCTAATTTTGACCAACGTCTTGTTAATTTCCATTCAGGTAGTGTTACCGTATATGAATCAATATGAACACCTTTATGATAACTAATATAAATAAATTTATTATGATTACATATTGATGCTAGTATATTACGATCTAATGGTAACACTTGTTCAACTTTTAAAATTAATTTATCATCCGACATTGTTGATAATGGATCATAGGTATACAGAGAATGTATACTTAAAATGAGAAATAAATTTAATGATGATGAATAACACATATCAACAATGATACCTGAATAAGAAAGAAAACTAGTAAATTTAAAGATCATTAATAAGGTTTAAACAATGTGTTGATTCAAATTATTTATATTACGTTCAATTTTAGTCTAAACGGTACATAAACAGCTATACCACATTATTCTGCTATCGAAAAGCTGATTGCGTTAGCGTTTTTAGGGACCTTCGTTATAACTTTTTAACGAAAAAGTCGAGAGTTGCACGCAACATCACCCGATAGAAAAATTTTCAAGAGTTTGCTTAAATCCCGTTTTGAAGAACTTCAGATCTTCTTTTTAATGAGATTTTGTGTAACTGTCGACGTTCCTTAAAAAGTTATAACCTTCTGAAGTTTCCTAAAAACGGTAACGTAATCCGCTTTGTGGTAGCAAAGTTACATAGAATGGTCGTAAATTCGTAGCATTTTTTTTTTACGAGAAAATCATTTAACAAATTCGAACTAATAGTCTTAGTTTTTAATTAAACTTGCGATACAAAAGCAGAGATGTAATCTAAAAAGTGAATCATAATGCATATCCCATAACGAATGATAGATAAATCGTTTTTTTTTTTGAATGCTTTTTTAATCTTTTAAGAAGATTTCCTACTACTTTTGAATCAAACGATTAAATCAAATTCATACTGGAATTGCAGTATCACAAGATTCTGCACAAACATATAGACATGTGATACAAATATTGCGTATCTCACGTGGTTAAATAAAGTTAACTTCCAAAAAAGACTTTCAGTGCGACACTACCAATGATCAACACGTGTCACACTAATATATCTAAGTGACGCCTTGAAACTTCTTTAGCTAGTAACTAGTTTTGTGAAACTCCTCTAGCATACATAATTTCACTAATAACTGCCATCATATCAGTGCTAACGGGGGGATTTTTTGTCAATTATTTTAATCTTTGCACTTATCGAACGTTTTTCAAAATAAGGCTCTCATTCTCATTTCATAACACTTTTAATTATTTCGCTGTTCAAAAATACTCTGTTTTCACACTTTGAGCATTCAAGCAAGATATACGACATAATTCATTCATATACTTTCATTCAAATGAAACTCTGTGTTTGGAGATTACATACCAAAATCATTTTCATTCCATGGTATTTCTTTGACTAATTTTGTCATATCGTATAATACTAGTCTTTTATCATCATTAACAAATATAAATTGATCTGATACAGCTAATGTTGATGAATTTGTTTTCACATCAAATTGAATCATTGGTTTTTTGACCAATTTAAACAAATCATCAACATCCAATGTAAACTCTTTTTTCTTCTTTTTTGGCATTCCGTTACTTCCTACTACTATATCATCATGTTCACCGTTATTATCACCATTTGACTTCGGTCTGCCATTTATTTCACTTGTAAAGAAAATTCTACTTCCATTTGATGATGTTGATGTTGATGGCGCTTTTACTGACGAATCTCCACATGCAGCCATGGTACATTTTTCTTTCTCAATTTTAATAAATTCATTTAACTGTTTTATATTTATCATATTCAAATAGATCCATTTTCGTTCAAGAACATTCTCAATTTCTGTCTTCAATTTATTTAATAATAATTGTACTTCATTTAATTTGAGTTGCGATATTTCTTCCGTGGATGATGTTGTTAATTCAATCATATCAGTTATTTTTGGTGTAATATTTGTTTTTAATTGTTTAAGTTGTTGTTGTTTAAATTGTTCAAATTCTTTTTCAATATCTTTATAGAGTAATTCTAATTCTTTCTTACGTTGATCGTAGAGTTCAGTTACACTACTGAGCATGTCGGTTTTCCATTTTTCTAAATTTGTTTGACATTCATCATGTATATGTTCTAATGTGAGAGCTTGTATTTTATTTAATTGTTCCGTTGTTTGATCATTGAGATGATATAATTCGTCTAATAGTTGTTGAGATGAACATACATGATCAGAATTGACTGGTTCATGGCAATGAGAACATTCCGAATCGCCATTCGCCGTTGTTGTAGTGGTGGTGGTAGCCATAGGCATTTCGAGTGATGAAAAAAGCAAAACTCTGAAACAAAATAAACACATTAGACCACGCTACTATACCTTCATCTGATGAAAGACGTCACGTCTGGAATCAATAGAATTCTGTTGATGTTATGAACATGTAACCTGATACAGGGACACTCCAAGGCCATAAGAGTAGGAAGAAAGAGGGGATTAAGTTAGAATCGAAACCACAAATGTAATTCATTTCCAAATCGAAGTAATGAACTTTTGTAGCGTTGGGGGTTTATCCATTCCTATTCAAAGTGCTTTTGTCACAGCGCACAAGAGAAGTAATAACACCATGATCACCACTTAAAAAAGTGAGTCGAAAACATTTTCATCGTTAAAAAAATGTTTGTTAGCCTAGCCGTTGTAGATTAAGAGATAACAACTTCAGTCCTAAACATTCTATGGTTTAGCAGCCTAACAACAATCGTTAACTGAAGAAGAACGTGATAAAAAGCAGATAATTCTCATCAATCTCATATAATTCTTCTAACAAAGATCAGTCTGAATCTAATGTAGACCAGTTTATATATAATTTAATTTATGATGTTTAGAAAAATTCGAAAACACTTCAGAAATGTATGTCACCTCTTATATCCCTTATATTTCAGAAAATCATTACGCTTCGAATAATACGCTTGATCTAATATACATTTCATATCCTATCACTATAATACTTTGCCAGAATGCTCATCTGAATGCACTAAATCAATGAAGCGTTACCTTTTGCTTATTAAATGGTATGTGTTTTAATAATGTAAAATCCTTTTCTTGTGCTTCAAAACTGTATCGGATATTGTATAATATAGTAATTGTTTGAAGCAAATTTTATTTAAAAATTTTCGGCTCTGATGCATTGAAGCAGTTTTTGAAAGAAAATTTTTTATTAGACGGAGATAAGATTCGATGAACATGAATACTCAACCAAGCGCAACAGTTTGCCTTCTATCTTGAAATTGCCTTTTTTTTATTGTGGATTCTGACATTTTCGACAACGTTTCATTTTTTAACAGTTAAATGAATTTATTAAAATTGAGAAAGAAAAATGTAACATGGAGAACATTTTCATAACATGCGTTCAAGCAGAAAGTATTCATTAGAAAAGAGAATTAAAACAAATGAGCGTGGAGAATATACTGTTGATGTTTTCAACGATTAATTTCATCAGCAATATATTTTAGGCAGAAGTTGTTTCATAGCACTGGAAGTTGGTTTTGAGTTGCTGAAAAATGCTTTTTCACATTCAGCACATTCGATAATCCCGAAGGTTTTCTATTTTTGGCGAGGGATACTTCCAAAAGTGTAGGAAAATTTTTCAAACTAATATTATTTTCCCATGGAAAATGTTTTACGGCATTGTGTTCTAAAATTTTTCATAAACTTTTGGAAGTATCCCTCGCCAAAAATAGAAAATCTTCGAGTATGCTGAATGCGAAAAGGCACTTTTCAGCAACTCAAAATCAACTTTATTTTTTTTGATGATATACTTCGCCAAAATTTTCCGCAGTTTGAACAATGATCAGAACTTACTGATAATTCACTAAGTTTTCAAAAGGGCTTTCTGTCTTTTCCACATTTTAAGTTTTGTTTTCATCAGTAAAATCTGCTAAAATATAAGCTCATTTCTAAACACAAAGGGTAATACCTTGAAAGTACGCAAAAAAAGAGACAATTTTTTTCTTTCCGCTTGACATTTACAAATCTGATTAGGTGACAAGCCTATTCAAAAACCAAAATTGTAGCATAAGACTGTCAACTTAACCTAACTTGTCGATTAACTTAAATATATAAACGGATCTACGTTTTTCTGTTTTCGTCGCAAAATTTCTCAATGTGTTCAACTGTACCGTTCAATTCAAAATTACGTCACAAACAAATGAATCAAAAAATTAAACAATGAACACATTTACCATCTTGGAAATATGGTAAGCAGAAGAAGGTCACATTAGAATATTAGTAAGAGAAAAACTGAAAACCTTTTTACAGTTGGTCTTATTTTTCAAGGGAAAAACAAGCGTTGTAAACACATAACCAAAAAGTGCATAAGTATTTCACATTAATTATAACGACATCTTTCTCCCACTCAGTAACTCACAAATTGTTTTCTCATTCTGATTCTTTTATTTTCATTCATGCATACAAGTGACGTTCATAATCAAGCACTCCTGTTTCTTGACTGAAAAAATTTGAATTTGAATTGATGAAGAAAGAATTTTGTTACACTAAATTATCCGACAATAATATAGAAAAACATCTGATGGAATTGCGTATTAGTGCTTACACTGTAAAATAACTGCACCCTTTAACTGTTCCAACATGACGGTTTAACCGTCAGATAACCGGACTCTTAAAAGGTCAGGTTATGAGTCGTCCTTGAAAATACAAATCCAACCAGACATTTTTCTAATCCAACGGTTAAAACATCAGGTCAACATGACGTTCTAACCGTCAGGTTAGGACGGTTAAAGTGTCAGATTAGAACGCATGAAATGTCAGGCTTAAAAAAGCGTCAGGTTAGGACGGTTTAAACATGCGATTTTCTCACGAGCAGACCTGTGCAGGTCTGTGCAGGGAACATCGTGGCAGAACCGCAGCAGACACTGTCACATACCTTGCAGCATAGATATGTGACAGTGTCTGCTGCAGGTCTTCCAGGATCTGCCACGATGTTCCCTACAGACCTGCACAGGTCTGCTCGTGAAAATTTTGCCTGCTGGAACTGAATGTGCAGGCTCGTTAACAGGCTCCGCCATATTAATCTTTTTTTATAGGGATAAACATTGTACACGGACATGTTCAGTAATCGCAGAAGTATCTTTGCTACATGAAAAGAAAAAGCAAGCAAATGGCGTTGCCCGAAAGGATCGTTTTGTGATACGGTTCCTTGGCGGATGGTGGATCTTAAAGGACCGAATACGATCATCAAACGGAACCACTTACTTTTGTGACTCATTACGAGTCACGACAGTGTGTGGATTATTTCAGTTGCTGAAGTATTGCTGAGGGTGTAATTGTGGGTAGCACTTTGCGGTGGACAAGTAGCGTTAGCAGCATAAAGTATATAATTATCAAGTGAGCACGAATGTGAAGATTAAGCGATATAAAAATCACTAGTGCGTCTAAGAAAATTTCTGTTGGGATTGACAAGCGTAGTTTATGTTAGTACAAATGCATAAGTAGTTGACCCCTATTTCAGGTATTAAATATCGATCATTCTTTATTTTATATTAAAACTTAATCGAACCTTGTATCTAGTTTCTCATTACTGCAATTATCTTTCACATGTGATTCAGATAACAGATGTCGACACACGTTCCGCTTGTTTATGTTTACGTCACGCACGTTCTTCGTCCCCATTCTTGCCAAACATTCACTTTACACACCTACTTCCGTCTAAGTTGAAGATTGTTTAGTTGATATGACAGATTTATGTTGAGAAGACGTATAATATGGTAAGCAGAGGTTATAGCATTAATTCTTTTTAAAAAATTGCAAGATATAACTTTAAAATCCTTTATGACATTAGTTAGCTAAAGAGTGGATAATGGAGAATGTTCTACATCGGACGCTTCCTATTCGAAGAGTACAGTAGTTAGTAAATAAAAAATTGCTCGATGCCATTGAATTCATCGTTAATGTAGCAACGTTTGCTGTTGTATATGTGTGAGTAGAATATTCATTATATTAACTTCAAGTCGTATAACTTATTCAAGATTATTTCTTATTAAAGTTTATTAAAAAATGAAACATTTTGTCTACTAGGTATTATTTGATCGGATTTTTCTCTTACTAAAATTAACGCTCAGTTTAGCTTTAATTATCTAGATACGTCTACAGAGCCCTATAGGGAGACAAGTTATTGCCTTACAGTTTGTTGCCAAGTTATTCATTACAGTTTGTAAGGAGAAATATTCAAACAAAAATGTTTTTTATGTCATTTGCATGCAGAATGAAATAGTTGTTTACATACAATAAATTACATTCAGTTTAGTATTTATCGAGATTGAAATGTTAAGAACGAGCTGTAATATCTATAGCTTGAAAAAAAACATATAAACTTAGCATCATCACGGTAAGTTAAACGTGATGGTTCAAAACTTTTAAAATTATCCATTCTTGAGTTATGAGACAGGTCAAACGCTGCTTAAATTCAAGACGCAAATTAGCAGAAGATAAGAGCTATTGCTCATCATAATCTAGTTATTAAGTTATGTTTTTCACGAACCCTCATAAAATCGAAAAAGAGATGAGATCTCCATGATTTCAGTGAGCGATCTAGATCAAAGCGATAGAAATGTTATAGTAATAGTGTACTTAATTTTTCCCCTAACGTATCAAACAGCAAATATTGAATAGAAGTTGAATAATGATTGATTTACTAAGTTAACTCTTCTGACAAAAGCAGTGTGAAAGACACCACGAGCGAAGAGTAGAGAGTAACCTTTTTTTGAAATAAATATATATACAAGGGTACTGAAATAGAGAGAGCTACGAAAGATCTTATGACCGCTCAAGATTTAATCCAGAATCGACAGACATCGGACATTAGGACGGTTTTTTCATAACAGCACTTGCTTCATTATTTTATACTTGAAGGAATCTATCCCAGAATAATTAGTGATTAAAGAAAATTTTATATTTGTTTATTTTTCTTGAGTATTAGGAATTTTTAACTGAGAAATTTGTCATCTTTATCAGTGTTTAATATTTGTGCTCATCTGTGTCGTACTGAATGTTTTTTTTGAAGGATACCACTTCCAGTAATAGATGCTTTGTGTGATTCAGTGTTTTCCTGTACCTACAAATAATTCTTTATTTTTTTATCATTTTTATTTCTTTTAGCTTTGCTACTGTGTACTGTTCAGAACAGAACATCGAAGGAATCAAGTTATACACAGAAAAATGATGAGGTAAGTTGTGTTGGAGTGTCAATGTGCATTTTTATTTTAGATTCCAGTTAGAGACAATTTACCATCAATCGTACTAATGTATTAATTTGTCAAAAATCTTATTTATCGTATTATTATGAGAGAGTGAACGTAGCTAATAGCTTTGTTTCATTAACAACTCTGAAGAAGGAATATGTTGACATTTATAACAGCTTTCAATTAAGCAAGTGAGTATTGATTGTTGAAAAGATTAATTTGTTTCATATTATGATCAAAATTATTTTTTGACTAATAGTATTTTTTTAAATAAATTCAATATTGAGATAATCAAACAGGCAATTTTAAATATTTCTTTGTGAGATTTCGAAGCCTCTCGCTTCATGTTCCAAATTTATTCGTTCAAACTGAAAGTATTGTAGACATTATATGACCAAAGTCAGGCATGTGTTCGTATGCTGTAGTTACCTTTATTGTATACTGACAAATGGCTTCTCTCTACATTAATTGTTTATTGTTCTTTTAAAATCTAAATTACTTACTACGTACTTCAAGTGTCATAGAAAAGGTTCACTAGTCTATTTTTCGTACATATAACAGAACATATTCCTAAAATCATTGATCTGAATAGCAGAGAAACAAAAGTATTGTTCAAAGGTTATAAACATTTCTTAACCTACTTCGTCTATGACTCATGTTGTAACTACAGTGAATAATGTTTGCTCTCTTTTTACCTATTTTAGCGTGTTGATTGAATGATGTTAATCAGTTTCATTTCATTGAAGAAAACGTTTGTTTTTTGTCATCATAATGGATTTTATTTACAGATAATATAAATACAAATTATTTTTTTTTCTCTCAGCGTTTTATGAACGTAGTTTTTGTGGTCCCTTGTTTTGATACAATGTAATACGACCAGTGTTTTTTGTTTTACTTGAGGATTGTTCAACTTTTGATAAATGTTTTTTTTGTAAGTTGGGTTTTGAATAAATGACGTACTTATTTTAAATGTATAAGAATGCTTGTCTACTAAATCCACATTGTTGCTCGCTTTTTCTGTATCATACAAAAGTTTGAATCAATTAAGTTATCCTTTACGTTGAAGATAAAAGAATAAAACAAGATTATGATTTGCAATGTCTTAATAAAGATATTGTTCTCATTTTTACTGAATAGTGTGATGAACAAAAATAGAAACTAGAGTATTTCTACTCTTTGAAATGAAAACGTGTTCGTTAATGAGCGTGTTTTACTACCATATAGGGTTCGTATGTGTTGTTGACGACTGGAAAAGATAAGGATTGATAAACAGACGAATAATGTAGAACAAGTTTTGTAGAGAAATAGACAATGTTGGGTGTGTCTCTCCACAGATGTTAGTGATAGTTTAGACATTGTCTCATTTAGTTGGGCAATAGTGAATTTTATGCAGCTCTTTCGCTTCATGCTGAGAAACGTAACTCAAGTCTTCTGGGTGATTTACTTTGTAAATAAGTCTAGTGATTATCGCATGAAAAACTTGGTTGTAGACTATTTTATTTTGCAGAACCTTATTTAGACAGTTAGTTAGTTATGAAAACTGCACATCAAAGTTGCAAGAAAAGTGCGAAAAACATTTAAATATGAGTAAATCTATTTGATTCCTTTTCTAACAGTGGTATAAAGTTAATTAAATCTATAGTAAACTTAAAATTTTTATATTGTTTTTATTGGTTGGTTAATCTTAATTCCAGGGGCCTGTTTCTTAAAAAAACTTAAGTAGAAAATCTTACTTAAGTCAAAAAAGACAAAGACTTTTTTGGACTTAAGTTTGACTTAAGTAAGATTTTCTACTTAAGTTTTTTTAAGAAACAGGCCCCTGATGTCTGCTGTAAGCTTAATTAGATGATCACTCTACTCGCGCAAAAGCCAAGTGAGAAAGAAATATGACGAGTTTCTTCTTCGCATACATAATGAGCCTACGTTGGATAATATAGATATTTTTTGGGAAAGAGGCATTGATATATGACAATTACCTTAATGTTTTCAGTTTTGAAAATTGTGAGTAGTCTCGACGCGGTTTACTGCCAACGATAGAATATATCATGCATGACTGAGTTGATAGAAATACAATTTTCCGACAAGTTACTTTAAAATTAGCATATATTGCGTATTTTTGGGATTCTTTAAAGTAAAAGAATTCAGTTTATAAGGTAATTGGAAAAATGATTTCATGTTAAAAAAATAGTAAGACGCCATCGCTGATGATGCGTATTTACTGTTAAATCGACAGTACTTTAAAGCATGTGACTAGTAAGAATAATGGATGGCGCTCAGCAAAAACCTCTTCAGTATGGAGAAAGTGTCAGCCTTCTCACTATAAATCTAATCTTTATTCCTCCAGAAGCGAATATAAACCTATTATAGTATTCTGAAACTTAAACTATCGAAAACACAAAACCTCACTGTTATCACACATTTAGAAGATGGTAAATAACGGCAGATTTTGTTATGCGATAGAAAGTGAATGAATATCATGTTGCATTTTGTTTTAGATGGTTAATTAATGTAAATAAATAAGAATGAGTTTATATTCTACTAATTCACCAAAATGGCCGAGTTCTTCAGCGTCAAATGACTATAATAATTCACATAATTGTAGCAATGGTAATAAACATTCAACATTTAACGATCGTCCGAATAACCCAAAACGGTACAAATGACATACTATTATTTAACGTTACAAACATGAGACTATATAACTGCTGGTTTTCTAAGGAGCGCAGCTAGCATCTCAGAGCAGGAAGGGGGGGACCTGCCCCAAACATTTTTTGTTCGTCCAAAAAAACATGTTTTTGAAGAACAAAAGACACAAAACAATGACTTTTCTGGAATCAGAGGGTGGTAACCACCCCTCGCCACCATCCAGTAGGAGGTACACCTGGTTTTTCTTCTCACTTCAACAGCAGCACTGATCTCTTTTCTTGTATATTTTAAAATAACTAAACATGTCGTTAATATCATTTGCTTCGTTTTGTTTTCAGTATTTGTACCGAAGATTCCCACTCTTATCGTCGTAGTAATTTTTCGTCACCACCACGCCCTCTTCACTCCTTATTAGACGATGAGGCATCGATTTCGAGACCGCGTCCGTCGTTATCCGAACGTCTAGGTTTAAAAAATGATGATTCAGACGAAAATGAAGATGAATCAACACCGTATTCGCCATCACATCCGATAACAAAAAATTCTCAGTCTCTATCTGTGCCATCATTATCATCATCCTCTTTTGTTAACGATCCAAAGCAAGAGCCAATACATTCATCTTTAAATGATAGAATAATTCGTAATCCTCAATTATCTTTATTAGAGTCAACATTATCTGTGTCGTCTGTTGACAGAAAATCAATAATGGACTTGTTGGGTACGTTTAGATTTCAAAATCGAGTTTAGTAACGTACGTATAGCTTCTAGGTTGAAATAACTATTCTTTTTGTTGATAGGCGATCATACTAGTGAAGATGAAGAAGAAGGAACAGCTGATGATGAAAATCAACCCTATAGTCCATCACAATTAGATTCTACAACAATGGAACAAGTGAGTCATCAGTTAAGAATAAAACCATCTCAACAGCACTCACAGCAACAAGTTTACGTTCCATCGTCTACGCATTCTTCCGTTACGCCTCTCTCTACTGTTAATAGTACTAATAATACAACCGTTACTAATGGGGCACTGCATCAATCAGAAGTCAACAACGATATTGATTACCGAGAACCAACGACATCAAATTCAAACACGCGACACCATCATCATAACAGGCATCATCATCACAAACATCATCAGAAAAAAAATGATGAAACGCATGAAAACCAGAATAGGTAAGTAATTTGCTCGATGTTTTGAGAGTGTGAGTGAAAATAGAGAGACTTA